AAAAATTCTTACAAGGGTCGCGTATGTACCACACTTTCTCGGAGGTTAACTCATTATTTATCGATTCGTGCATGTATTGATCAACACATAACAAATAAACAAAATAAAACTATTAACATAAAGCAAATATTAGTAGCTAATACCAAAATATTACACATCATTCACAACAAGGAAACGCCCAAAATAATAAAAATCCCTTAATATACAAAAGAAATAACCTATATTATATAAAATATCTTTCAACACAAGCGATACAGAATCCAGACAAAGATTTTAAGAAATTGGACAAATGGAAAACATTTCATTGTAAACAGATATGAATACGCGTTTCAGCACTCAAGGCTTCATCAGACACCCCCCTCCCCCAAAAAATCTGTCTATGTGTATGTATATTATTTAAGCATGCACACAAATACAAATACACACATTTCTTTTTTTCGTTTTTGGATCTGATGAAGTCATGAAAGGCGAAACGCGTAATCAAAGCTATTTTCAATGAAACATTTCCCATTTGTCAAATTTCTTATATATATATATATATATATATATATATATATATATATATATATATATATATATATATATATATATTTAATATTCTTATGAAATATAAAATAATACCTAAATTTATGATATATATACATATTCTGAAAGGCGACATTTCAACACATCTTTCTATAAGAGTCGTCTGTGGATTGGAAATTTTAACTGCATTTACTTTGAAAGTGAAAGTAGAGTAATTTCAGATGCATTTTTTTTTTTTTTGCATTTGATGCTATTTTATTTCGAGAAACGAAAAACTCTAGGCAAACAGCAAAACGTATATGCGTCATTTATTGAGACGGTGCCATAACTGAGATTATTGTTCATAACTATTTCACTACATTCCGAAGTGGAAGTTTTGATTTGAAACACGGAGAATCTTCCAGCAGGCATGCAGTCATTGATGATAACCAAATCGAATCGTTAATTAAAAAGAATCCAGGTTACAATGAGCATTACAGAGATATTCCACATATCTCATATAAAAATCGAATGGAATTTGAAAACACTTGGATACGTGTATCGCTATGATGTTTGTGTGTCTCACTTAAACTTAATGGACAACCAAAATAACCCATTTTTGAACAGAATGATCACAGACGATGAAAAATATCCTGTTTACAGCAATATGTAGCGAAAAAAGTCCTGGGTGAAAACTAAAAGCCGGTTTACATTTGAAGAATTTGCTGTGTACCTGGTGGCATTGAAAAGTCTTTTTGTATTGTGTATTATGAACTTCAACAAAATCAGACATTGGATTCAAACAAGTACTGTTCTTAAGGCCCCAACTGATGTTGGAATCGGCCAATCGGAAGGGTGTTGTCATCCTTTAGAATAATGCCAGACCTCACGTTTGTTTGAAGGCCCATAAGAAAATGTTTAACTTTAACCTTATGCCCTCCTGCACCTTCAGACTTTCCCTTTTTGACAAAACGGGGCGGTTTCCTATTGGACTCCTTCACTGGTTAAGCTGCACAGGAAAACCAACCTCTCGGCGTGCTGGTGACACTCCAAGTGTAGCATTCCCAGCGCCCCATGACAAGGACGCTGGACACAGGCTTCTCTGCAAAACCTTGACATGCGTCCACCCACAAGAGGGAGAAGAGTAAGCGACCGACCGCCAACCCACGTTTCTCGCAGAGAGGGAGTACTGCCAACCAGTAGAGGATGAGGCTAAAGATGTCCTGGGAGTACACCTGAGCCCTACCCTTTAAGGACGATCGCCTTCGGAGTCAAGTCCGGACCACATCTCCGACCTTTACCAGTATCTCCGACCAATTCTCCTTCAGCTGTAGGAGGGACCAGAACCACACTCCAAGAATGCGGACGGAATCGTCCGTCCAACTGAAGGGCCTCGGAAGAGCAACACCATTCCAAGCACCTAACTTGTCTCGGTTAATCTAGACCCCCTTCGCGTACAGTTAAAGCGCCTTCCGCACAACATCAATATCGCTGCGGTTCGACACGAAAATAGATACGTCATCGGAGTACGCGGAAACCCAATGCTTTTATAATTTTTGATGAGTGTCTCTTGCTCTTTTCTTAAATACACAGAAGGGGTTTTATGTGAAGACGGTCAAAGTTAAACAAATATTTCTGATGAAAATTTTTGTCTCACATCTTCCAGTTTCTATTGGGGTGTTGACTTGTCTGCCACCCAACACCTCACTGTCTTTGTTACTTCTGATATTGTAAAATAAATAAAAGAATAAAAAAAAATCGCGTCCTTTGAAAAGAAAAATTTCAACAAGACAGTTTCTGCAGCCCTCATTAGGAAAAATCAGATTTATCTTCCTTGCGGGGAAAAAGACTAGTTAGCCATTGCAACAAAGAACAATAAGTGTTTAGTGGGATGGTAAGAAAGAAAAAAAATAAAGGGAATGGAAAAGAAAGAAAGAAAGAAAGAAAGAAAGAAAGAAAGAAAGAAAGAAAGAAAGAAAGAAAGAGTAGAGAAATATTAAGAAAGAAAAAGAAAGGAATATGAGTATGGAAATACAAAGAAAGAAAGAAAGAAAGAAAGAAAAGAAAGAAAGAGTAGGGAAATATTAAGAAAGAAAAAAGAAAGGAGAATGAGTATGGAAATACAATGAAGAAAGAAAGAAAGCAAGACAGAAAGAAAGAAAGAAAGAAAGAAAGGAAGGAAGGAAGAAAGAAAGAAAGAAAGAAAGAAAGAAAGAAAGTAAGACAGAGTGACAGAAAGAAAGAAAAATAAGTGAAAAAAAAAAGAAAGAATAAGTGAAAGAAAGAAAAAATAAAGAAAAATAAGTGAAAAAGAGTCTTGGCAAGATGATGTAGAGGAGTAAAATATACGTGTGTTTGGAACAAAGTCCCCGACTTGACTAATTTTTTGCGAATCCGGAAATACCAGGCTGCAACTAAAAAAGAATTGGATGCAGGATTTAAATTACTAAAGACATTATCACCGACAATTACTGGCCTAAAGCCACTTAAATATTGTTTTGGGAATCATGAACAAGTATTGCAGCGCCCGGTCAGGATCGAACTGATTATATTTGTAAACTTGTGTCTGAAACTCAAGCTTATTAACTCACGTTACTTTCAGGACGCTAAATAGTAATGTAATAAGTTTAGCTATGTTTGAGATAAGACCATAGTTAGTAGGGTAACCAATAGGGATCGAACTCACTACAGTGGCAATCCGTTCTGTAAGACAGCATGATTAACTAGTGGTGCAAGTATGGCATCAGGTGTGAATGATGGGGAAAAATATTAAAAATCATCACCAAGAGACATTGCAAAATAGAAACAAAAGCGAAGAAAAATCTATGAAGGATTAGAACAATTGTGATAAGAAGCCAAATCGCCGTCTCACGAACATTTTTCTTTGATAATAATTTAAAAATAATTCAACAGATGATGTTATTTTATTTATGGTAACTGGATTTTTGGCGTTTGCCTTATTCGCTTTCCGTCGTACGATACTGTGCGTCTGAAAAATGCTGCTTTTATCGCGGTCGCCATCCTTTTTAGAACTTTTAACTGAGATCAAAGTGTAGTATCTGTTCTTATCAGCTTAACCTGATTCTCTTTCTCCACTTCTTTCTTTCTTTCTTCCTTTCATTTTCTCACTGAAATCAAGTAGTGTCTGTTCCCGTCTTTCCACGTGATCAAAATGGGACAGTTCAATGTTTATGAGGCACTGGCCGGGCGTAACGGTCGTGCGAACTAATGACGGGAGGGACGAGCTCAATTATAATAGGATAATTAATCGATTATTGAACATTGTATCAGAGAAGACATTGAATTTCTTTTGTGTCTGAGACAGTTTTTCTATTTTCTTTATTTTATCAAAAATCAGTATTTGAATCCAAATTAATAGCAACAGAAATAAAGAAACATGATTTCATTTCAGGCCCTCCCCAATTGAAAGATTAGCACAGTTCAACCCTCATACCTCGATTCACGCTCAATTTAGACTTCTGCTAGACCAGTGATTCTCAACCGCCGCATCTCAGCACATTAGTGTGCCTTGAGATCCTCTTTATAAATGTTCCTTCTAATATTGGATTTCAGTTATGTGAAGAAGAAAAATTGGCCACCATTTCTAGCAATCGACGGTTCTATATAAAAGATTCGACGGTACCCATTGATACATTTTGGATTTCAGTATAAAAAGAATGTTCCACATTAGACAAAAATGTTTTATCAGATTTATTGCAATTTTCTATTTCTTATTTGTGTGAATTAGGCTTGTCAACCCTAAATACTATCAAAAATAAGAAGCGAGTAAGACAACGCTCAACTGGAGAAGAAATGAGGGTCTGCTTATCGCACATTCGACAAAACATTGAAGAAATGGCGTAAAGACACTAAGCATAGGTTTCACACTAAATAAACTGCACAAATAGTTGAAAAGAAACATTGAAATAAACTAAGTTCATATTTGTGTGTGCATTTTTTAAAAATCTATGGTTTCATTTCGTAACATTTAAATGTATATCCTTTAAAAATTTTTCTAAGTGTGCCGTGATATTTTCATTTGCTCCTAGGTGTGGCGTTGCTTACAAACACTGTGCTAGACTAGACTAATTTTCGGAGATATTTACTAATCTGACACAGAGTCAGATTAAGTAGAGTAAACAATGAGAAATTCACGACACAACAAAATGAAAATATCTAGATAGTAAGTGCTCCATGGTGAGGTTCCAAGAGCTTCATAATTATCAAATTAGAAATGACTTGAGTTGATTCGGTACGAATTTGGAACGATGAATGTTAAATTCTTATGCTTGCATGATATTTAAACACAGGCCATGAAATCTAAGATGGAGCAGTTGTTTGTCCTGACCGTAATCATTACAGAGACCACTAATGGAAATGATACACAATAATTGTAATAATGGTTGCCATATCTAAAAGTAGATTTGATTTCTTTATTAATATCAAAGTTGAGCTTTCATACGTCCATGTTAACCTGTAATTATATTCTGAAGATCCTATTAAGAAGTTAACGAACGTAATCACCCCGAAAACTGATTTTATTGCTGTGAAGTCATGCTTGTAATACAAAACGGTAGTTATACAATTATCATTTTAAAAACCCAAACATGCTGAGTTATCGAGCTAGAGAATTTTTTTCTTGTGATTTATTAGGCTTAGAATCGTCTGGTATAAAGCAATGGTCAGTGGAGCACCCAGTGAGAATCGAACTCACTACGCGAATGAAGTGATCTGCAAGAAAAGTAGCGATCTTGCTACAATAGGTACCTTAAATAGTTCTTACCCAAGTTTAGTCTAATATAAGGGCGTGAGAATAGCATAACGGATATCTGCACTGGAAGTGAAATATGATTGATTGATTCTTTTTTTTTACGACTTATCAACCCTTTGCAGGTTATTTAAAGCCAGATATTATTTTCAGATTATAAGAATTTTTTTTTAGATGATATCTTTTTTATTTATTGACTGATTTTTTACGTCTTATCAACCTTTTGGGTTTTTTTTTCTGGCTTTAGCCAGAAAGTATTTTTAAATTTTAAGATTTATTTTGAGATAATGATACTATTCCTACTAATTAACCCATAACTGGGAGAGAAGTGGTGGATTCAAACCTTTCCCAAGGCTATTTACGAGAAAGGGAATATAACGAACCCAACTGGAATTGGAACTCGGCTCTCCGATTAACAGCATCTGGTATTCCCAAGCGATCACCCATCTAGGTACTCATCAGGCTCGACGTTGCTTAACTTCGATATAAAGTGAAATATGTGAGCCGTGTTCAAACTCCAGCCTTGTCTGATGCGTTCACTTCCGCACAAACAATCTTAGGAAAGATATGAATCTGTCTCTTCTCCTCCTTGGTATGGAGTAAATAGTACGAGAGACTAGGTTTTGAGTGGCAACCAATCGAGAAGAAGGAAAACTCCAACCTATGGAGATAACAAAGGAGATATGGTAATTTAGAAAGAAAAGAAATCTATGAAGAGTTATGATCACCTATGCCCTGAAGGAATAGGTCATTTTTAAATATCTGACACAAGGCCTTCTATTTTGGGATTCGGAAAGGATGGAGCATATTTCGAACAGGTCGACAAGTAGGCATTTATTTATCTTTATGAGCGTGTCGCCGAGTGGTTGGGACGTTCTCTTTTCGACCATGAGATCCGGGTTCGAATCTCACTATGAGCGATTTGTTTCAAAAGTGACATCCTGATGTTATCAGCCTCGGTAGGCGATCCCAGCGTGCGGTACCTTTAGAAAATGCCTGTAAACTATACTACAGGTTGACCCAAGCGTTGTAAGGGAAATTCGGTAGACTGTTCGGAGGCCGTTGATGTTTGTACTAGCACGAAATCACAAGTCATCGTGACCGAGGGTTTGAGTGAACTGTTCTCTTTCAAACTGTTACTCATGCCAGATAATGCACTCCCTTCCAGATCCGCTGTATAGTTGCTGTATAAACCACATGTGGCCTCTGTGGGAGTTGAACAAACGCAAATGTGCCTGAGCAAGCCTCTTGCAACAGGGATTGGCTCGGATACGAGCGGCCAGCCATTGTGAATATTTAAGGAAAGAGAGGACCTTAATGACTTTATGTAAAATAGATCGATGATTTAATGGCAATTTTTATGTGGCTATTTTCTTTTATTTCATTGTCTGTCGTAAATGCAAACTTTGAGGAATTACCAGGAAGTTAAACCAACTGCAAAACGGAATAGAAAAAAGAAAGGTTATGAAATTCAAAATCACAGCTTATTCTCCCATTTCGCAGCAATCAAGAAACATAAAGCCATCATTATTTTAGACATTATTCGCACGACTTGTCTCTCAAGACATGTTGCTTTCAATACAGTATCTCGATAGGGTGTCACGGGTTGGAGTAGAGGTTAATGAGCTTGTCTGGTTGAGCATTAGGAATGAGTTCGATCTTCACAGTGTGCTCTATATCTGTGGCCTTGAGCTAAACAAAGATTATTAAAAAAACAAAAACAACTTTCACTGAATCCATCTTTGATTTTCTCCAGTATGATACACCCTCAGACATTTTTCTTTACGCTCGTAGTTCCCGTTCTCTACACACGAGATTACTTCATTATTTCTTTTACTGTTAGTTTATCCAAGGTCCAAGAGCCACTCGAGGTAGAGGGTCACCGAGTGAGACTGATGTAAGAGAGGGAGAACTAAGAAGTGCACATTATAATAAGCTGACCCTGGAGATAAGGTGTTAAGAATACAGCGGCCAGGGAAGCATCCGCTTTGAGTTTGTTCCAGAAAGTAACAGTTCTGGGGAAGAAGCTGCCTGGGTGGAACTTACACAGGAGCACTAAGGAAATGGGGAGGATTTGCTACGGTGAACAAGGTATGGCGGAGGATTCTAGCCATGCCTTTTCCTCTTTTTGAGCTGTGAGAGTGGGGTCAGAGGAAAGATCAGGCACTGGTTATCCAGGTATTTGGAGGTGTACCCATACACCGTGGCATCATATGCACATATGAAAATGTTCTTAGGTGGATCGTTAGTAATAAATAAAGCAATAAAGCAGAACAAGAGTAAGATCAAGGAGAGTATGGATCTCATGTGTCTCAGAGAATTGTCCATTAACGATAATCTCCAAAGATCTACTTGACAGGAAATTATAAATCGAGAAGACTCTCTTAGAGATGTCATTGCTGGCAAGTTTGTGTATCAGTCCCCTATACTACACCTTACCAAAAATCATCGAGATATCTAAGGTAGTCATTCTTGAGATGTTTTTTTTATTATAAAGCGTTTCACTGATTCTATGCGTGATAATAATTATCAGCAGAGAACCCAGAAGAGTGAAATCCATACTATTTGTCATTCAGCAATTTTTGCACTAAGGATTACACTAAGGATGGGTCGATATTGTGACGGGATGAGGGCAATCACTAGACGCTCTCTTGGGCTCGGGAGACATTTCTTTTTCAGGCAGTGGTTAAATAACTTCGCCAAGATTGGAGATAGTCCGAGGTCAAGGTTCAAGGTTCAGCTACAGGTATTTTACCCGAACCCATACACCGTGATATCATCTGCACGTTTACCAAGGATATAAGAATGTTCTTAGGCGGATCGTTAATGTAAAGCAGAAAAAGAGTAGGACCAAGAAGAGCATTGATCTCATGTGACTCAGAGGATTGGCCATTAACGAAAGAGAGGATCTTAATAACTTTATATAAAATAGGTCAATGATTTAATGGCAATTTTATGTTTGCAAAGAGAATAGCAATGGGGAGGGGGAGAAAAATAGAAAGAAAAAATAGAGGCATGAATTCGGCTCGGGGTGCCCTTTGTAGCTGGTCAAGAGTCTTGGAAAATGCAACATTTTCCAGGACTCTTTTACATTGGTTACGACCAGTTCTGAATGAATCATGGGTTTTGCTACACCGTTTCCCTGAGAGAGACACGGACAGTTACACCGCTTAACAAGATCAGATAGTCCAATAAAACTATTGAATTTTTATTCTTATTAATATTATTAACGATGTTAATATTAATGAATGTGGTATATAAATATGGTATCTGGTAATAATTCCATAGACTTATCGAATAATCTGATCCTGATGAGAGGTAATAAGTGAAACTTTAGAGTCGAATGCTCAAAAATGATATATAAATTATTCCAATACGTATTCATAAAAGTCTGTAATCGTTGCTACAATCTGTTTATCTATGTAGTTTAGATGAAAAGCGTGTAAATTATAGCATTTTATACAAATATATTTTCGATTTTTTTTTAAATTTTTTTTTTAATATCACACAGATGTGAAAAGATGTATCTGATGAAATATAAACAAAAACAAACCATTTTCTGTATGATTTCTCTTCAGGCTTCTTGCTTTCCACTCAACTTTGATCTTTATAAATTCCACTGCAACGTCAATCGCTATTTTTGTCTTCGTAATTTCTGTTCTTTTATTGTCCTCTCTCCTTAATTATTATTTTTTTTTCATTTTCTCTGATTGGTTTCTCAGTAACTACTTGAATGAGAAGACTTATGGAAGACAGAGAATGGCCAGTGATGCTGTATTCAAATTTTTGAAGATTGTAGTTGGCAGGGAAGCAAGAAACCGGAAAGGAGTTCCACATGAAAGAAGAGCGAGAAAAGAAATATGAGACATAATTGTAAGTTCTATGCTAACCGTTTCTTCTATTGCACTTCTCGATTGTGGAACTTTCTTTTAGCTTCTTGCTTCCCAGTCAACTTTGGTCTTTTAAAATTTAAATGCAATGTCAATCGTTATCTTCTATTTTCTTAATTCCAGTCCTTTTACTCTTCTCTCTCATTAATGCTTTTTGTCTTCTCATATTTCCCTCGCATTCAGTAACCGCTTGCGTCTTAGAGGCTTTACTGCTTTGCTTGCGGTGAAATGATTAAAAAAGAAAAAAAAAATAAGGAACAGAGATTGGCTTTTATATAGAGAAATGCGTTGCTCTTTATAGCATACAGCTTTTTAGCGTCCAATCTCCAACTCCCATGATATTTTTACTGTCTTCTCTCACTGACCAGGCAATCCCCAAATCGACACTCTTAGGAGAAGCGATCTTAGGATGAATTACGTAATCATTACGTAATTGTTATCTTGTCGTTTCGAAATCCGTCATAAATATTTTATGCCGGTTTAATCTGTCATCGAAGCTGCAAAACAGAAAGTAAGTGGACGGAACAAGAGAGAGAGAGACAGACAGACAGAGAGAGAGACAGGAAGAGAGAGACAGACAAAGAGAGAGAGAGAGAAAACAGTTGCAAGCAGGAGAAGAAAATACAAGAGAAAGGTTGCGAGGAGATAAAAGAAAGAAAGTGTGGGAAAAAAATAACGGAAAAAGAAAACGAGAGAAAAAGCAAATGAAATTCGCGACGGCGGGCGGGGGGGGGGGGGCAGAAATAGAAAGAAAAAAAATTAGAGGAAAGAATTGGAGCGAGATAAAACGTTTGTACCGTAGCATGTCACGTGATATTGAAAGTTGCGTCATTCCCACGGGACATTCCAACCTTGGTTGCCGTCCAGTTTAGGAGAAAGTGTAATTAGAATTTCAAATCACGGAGAAATCAGCAGAAAACCACTCCACAATCTTCCCCAAGAGGTCATGGCAATTTACATATAATAAAGAAAGGAGGACCATGAACACCCACGTCCTGAAGGGACATAACAATAATAATCGTTCTCAGGTGAGTAAATACGAAAAAAAAAACGTTCGGATCATAGTAAATGCTAAGACTAGGAATAGTGATTTTCAAAGTCGAATGGCCATCTATATTTGAATTATTGGAGCAATACAATCTTCTTATCCTTAATAATCCTAGATTAGACCTAGTGCTGAACTGAGATAATGTTTGCTTTGGAGTGAGATTTGAAGGGACACAAAAGATAAAAAACAGAATGACCAACTTTGAAATCCGAGTGGCAAATAAGGGTGAGGGTGGAGGTGAGGCTGAGGGTGGAGGTGAGGCTGAGGGTGTGTAGACAATAGAAATATGAAGAGTGAGTAAGCAATAGGGCAATGAGCTGCCATAAAAGAGAGTGAGAAAGATAGTATGAGAAGAAAGGGGGGAAATGAAGAATGAAGGAAGATTTGATTGGTTTTCTTTTTTTACGGTTTATCAACCCTTTGTGGGTTTTTTAAAACCAGAAAATATTGTTAGATTGTAAGAATTTTGGGGTGATAATAATGACTTACTGGTAGAAGTCCTACTAGTTAACCCATAGCTTGGGGGGAGAAGGTGTGGCATAGAATTTACATCTAGCCAACTCAACTGTAAATGGATGAGATCTCGACGTCAATCTAGTACTACGCTTAAATTCAATAAGTCTAAGTACCATAGCGAAGAGCAATATTTATTTGTAAAAAGTAAAAAATGCGGTATAAGGCCAAAATGGAGAATGGGGAAAAGGAAGGTCTTCATCTGTCTTAACTTTAAACTTAGCTAGCCACAAACACTGACCCAAACATCCCACAATATTCTTAACACCAAAACAATGCATTCCTACTTACCTTTCTTACTTCACCATAATACCTCATTGTCTCTATAAAAGTCCTAACTAGTCCCCATATTACAATTCATTGTCTTTTTAAAACAAAAATTTAAAAATCTAACCCCATTGAATATTTAGAAAAATGAGCAAAAGTATTTACAAGAAACTAAACAAAATATTAACGAAGAGCTCATTCGAACAATTACCATGAAAGTATTTATAGAAAAGACACAGAGAGGTAACCCTACGACGGTGGAAAAGCAACTGAAGCCGAGCTGCCAGATCAGGACCAATAATATTGTTGATTCTTCCTTAGATCTTATCAAAGGAGCTCAAAGTAAATAGCAGCAATATGACAGCAATGTACTAAGCATGGACGAATGGTAGACTTATTTGTTACATTTAGATTACTTTTTCATATACTAATCGTCAAAGTATTATCGGACAGATGTAGTATTTGTTATTGATTGATTTCGTCTATTTATTCATCCCTTTATTAATTTCATTTATTTCTGTACATTTCGTTAATTACATTTCATTTTTCTTTATTTCGCAGTCCCGTTGCTACATGTGCGTTTAACCATTTTATGGGTTTGTAAGGGCTCCTGTTTTTTCTCCATTGTGACCACTTACCCATACCTAACCTCAAAATGCACGATGATAGCGGCATTTCATAAGCGAAATATAAACTATTATGAAAGCCTCATTAAATTAACTCAAGCACATACATACAAAAAAAAAAAAAGAGGTTATATGTGATGCTTAATACTCAAATCGTCTGGTGACAAAAGCAAATCCCATTAGCTGACCCGGTGTGAATTGGGATATCTCCACATTGAGGCGACGCAGAAAAAACAGGCGATTAATAAAGAATTATAAAGCTATTGCGCGTGCGCAGGACGAAGAGGAAGAGTAAAAAAAAAAAAAGGTCGGGAGAGAATAAAATACAATATATCAATAAAGCGTTTTCTCAGACTAACTGTTCTTTTTTTTTTTTTTTTGTTCTCCCCAGTGTCCAATGTTGATCAGCTTGTATCTTTAGTCAACTCTGCCGATTATTCCCGTCAGAGAAAAGAAAACTGTCGCGTCGTTTGCCCATGAGGACACGAATTCCGTTTTTCCGTTCCTTTTGCTTTTTCTCTCTTCTTCTATCTCTCTTTTCTTTTTGCCAGACCCTAAAATCTCCCTCTCTTCGTTTGTCACTTTCTCCGTATTTAATCAGACGAGCTTAGAACATCCGCCACATCCGGATTTATTACCGCAAAGGAAATAGTTATCGTTTGAATAACTAAACAAGCCACTCGTCTATTTTCTCTTTGCTTTTCAATGCTTGCTTTCCTTCTCGCGTCCTTCTCACGCGCTTTCTCTCTCTCTCTCTCTCTCTCTCTCTCACACACACACACACACACACACATATATATATATATATATATATATATATATATATATGGTGTTGGTGGTGGTGGACTCTCCCATCATATTTGACGTATGAGGGTCAATCAGCTCAGTTCCTAGGAACAGACAACCCAGACATCAGCACATATGATTTGATTATAGTGGTGAAGGCCTTGTGCAGGACCATCCACACTTTTTGAAGGGATGAATACAGAGACCTGGTTCACTACGTGCCACAAGGCCCCCAAACGACCCTCCGCAGTTTTAGAATTCAGAGTTGTTTTATAGAACACAGTCTATCCTGCTATTTGCCCATAGCTGGGGGGAGAAGCAGAGGATTAATACTTTTAATAATACTTCTGACGAACGTGGTTAAAGCCAATGACGATTTTATTGAATAAATTTATTCTTTAGTATTTCAAGATATTTTTGTGTAATTTTGGTAAATATAACTATTAAAATGAGATATCAGTGTTATTTTCCTTTTTGCGTAATTTAGACAACAATATCGCACCCTATATATATATATGTGTGTGTGTGTGTGTGTGTGTATGTGAAGAGAGAGAGAGAGGAAAGTAGAGAGAGATTGATGGGAAGAAAGCAAGACGTTGCTAGCCTCTAGCTTTCAAACCACTATTTTTAAGCTGGGGAAGATCATCTGACTTGAAAGATTTGCACAACACAATGTTCCTATTTAATGTACTGAGTTTCGAATATATATAAGCAATTAAATTTTTAATAATACTATAAAAATCATATTTAAGAGAAAATGTCCATTTTGCCTCAAATGATTCAATCCAACTAATTTATCGAAGCTTTTAAAAACGGCACCTACTGTAGTCCAATGACAAATAATCACGGGTAAATTACACCAATTTGGTAATTGTCATGGGTCCTTACTCTTATTAACACTATGTATACTACGCCTCTCAAGAGAGAGTGTCGAATCAAGCCGAGGTTCTTGGCTTGCCGGTCGAACTCTATGCCTCTGAGCAGAGAGGAACCCGGACGAGGCTCCGCCGAAGGGCAGAGTCTCGTTCGGGGAGGTTGACCAACCCGATCCCGTTTATATGGGTTCTACGGGCATTTTTTTGGCCGAGCCTACGGGCTCAGGAAACCCACGTCAAACTCGGCCTTGTGCCACATGCAACCCTCGTGGGGAGGTGGCTAGATACCGAATCGAGTCGAGCCGATAGTAGTTCACTCCAAACCAGACTGACCGTCATATTAACACCTTCCACATCTTGTATTATTATTTCGTGTAATATACCTTCGTTATTTCTACTCTTGTGCTCGTGTCGTTCTTCCTTGGTCCTAACCTAGACCATAACAGTAATGAAATAAATTTAGTCGTCATTAGATGATCTATAACTGTTACCTTTTTCCAGGTGGAATTTAGCTCAATATATTTTGAAGACCCCCAATATTGTGAGAGAGGAAACACATCTAGCAGTCGAAATCGCTCGTGTAGTACGTGGTCAGTTGATGAGTCAAACTAAATTAAACTTAGTATTTTTGTTTTGTGCCGGTTAGTAGGTTTGTCTCACAGTCGTTAGTATCAGAGGGTCGGTTTTCATTAGTGCTCATCTAATATGATCTTGTGCCAAATTATATCAATCTCATCTATAATAGTGCGATTAGAAACAAAGAGAAGAAATCGAGAATGTTCGATCCTTGGTGAGCACATCACTCTTGTGGCATTAATTTCTCACTATATACGAAACCAGTCAAAAAATGGCACGTTTTCAACGAAAATTATTTTTCTCTGTCGTCTTTTATGCATTCTTTGAATTTGTACGTTGCCCATTTTTATTCAATTCACGTTTTGTGTACTTTTCCCAATGACAGCACAACTTTTGAAGATATAACCTTCAACACACATTGGATGTGTTACTAATTCTGGTCCAAAATTCGATTAGGAAAAGCATTTGTTAGAAAAATGTTCGGACAGAACTGATGCCAGATGTATAACCTCCCGAAGAATAAAGTTCCAAGATAAATTGATTGACTAGAAATTATCGGATATGTTTTTAGATCTTTTAGATTAAAAAAAAAATATTGATGACTTTCTGTTCTTCAGTCCACTTTCTTTCTTTATTTATTTCTTCTTCAAACTTTATTCTTTTTCAAAGCCTTCTTCATTTTCCTTTTTTCTTCTTTGTCTTGTTGTTTTTGTTGTTGTTCTTCTTCTTTTTCTTCTTCAAACATTCGTCTTTTTTCTTCCTTTTCTTCTTCTTCTTTAAAGCGTTCTTTCTCCTCCTCCTATTCTTCTTCTACTCCTCCTTCTCCGTTTTGTTCTTCTTCTTCAATACCTTCTTCTTTAATGCCTTTTTCTTCCTTTCTTCTTCTTCTTCTTCTTCTTCTTCTTCTTCTTCTTCTTCTTCTTCTTCTTCTTCTTCAAGGCTTTCTTCCTCCTCCTCCTATTCTTCTTTTTCTTCTTCGTCTTTTTCTTTTTCTTCAAACCTTCTTTTTACTTTTCGCCAAAGATTTCTTTTTCTTCTTTCTGTTCTTCTTTTTTCTTCTTCTACATTAAAGCCTCTTTTCTTCTTTAAAGATTCTCAGTTATCTTTTCATTGCTCCACTTTCAATCATTTTTCAAAACTTCTTCGTCCTTTTTAATTGTATTTTTCTTCATCGGAATCTTTATTCTTTTCCAGTTTCTTCACTTTCTTTTTCTCCACAATATTGCTAAGCCATATCTGATCACATCAAGCTTTACACAGCAATAGAATTTGTCATGACAGAGAATTGAAAATGGGGCAAAGCAGATAATTATTATTTGCTTACCATAACCTAAATATTCCACAGTGAAATACGCCTGATATACAGCTTGATGAGGAAATCAAAGAAAGGTTCCAATATTACAATAATCCAAAAGACTGGAGGATATTTCATTAAAAGCTGAGAGAATATAACTTAAAATCCTTTCTACATACAATGCGACTATTATTGATGATTCGATGAACCATAAAAATAGAATTATCCATTAAAATCCTTTCTTTTTTTTCATTACTCTTTCAGTTATTTTTACAGCTTTTAATTTTATATTCTTTCTTTTTCGTTCCTTCTTTTTTTTCTTCTTTCTTTCTTTCTTTTTCCTTTTTCCTTCTTTCTTTTTCTTTCTTTCTTATGATGATGATGATGATGATGACGACGACGACAGTTTAAACACTTGGGATCCATTTCCAACAAAGCACCTCTCTATTGCAATAAGATAACAGGTCACTCCATGATGTCTGCAGTAAGCATTCTGTACTTTTATCTTCGTGGAATTCCTTAAGACTTAGTGTCGGATTAAGATGAGCTTATTAGACATTTCCTTTTAAGTAACGTTTTGAAATTTTTCAAATTTTTTCTAATTTTCTGTGAATTTTATTTGTTTTTCTTTGTGTTTTACACTTATTAATGCTAATGTCATCTTTTGCAGCAGTGCTGACTTCGATAATCCTGTTTAAAATATTTAAAAATGTCAGAATTTATCTCCACACACTCACCTTTCAACTGCATCAATTAATATTTTCTTCACTGATGGGATATGAACCTGGCAGCAACGATGTCATCGTAGAAAGACAGAAAAGAAGAGATAGATAGATAGATAGATAGATAGATAGATAGATAGATAGATAGATAGATAGAGAGAGAGATGGAGAAAAAGATAGGTGTAAAAAGAGAACGCGAGATAACAGTGTGGAGAGAGAGAGAGAGAGAGAGAGAGAGCAGAATATATATATATACATTTAGAGAAAGAGAGAGGATACTATAAAAAGAGAAATATAGTAGTGTGTACAGGAAAGGCAGAGTGGAGAGAGATAGAGCGGTATGTAGAAAGAAAACGAGAAAGAGAGAGCAAAGAGTATAGAGTGAGGTGGAGAGAAAACTGAGTGACTAAAGACAGAGAGAAAGAGATTGAGATATAATAGAGAGTGTAGAGAGATAAAGAATAGAAAAACAGAATGGAGAAATGAATGTAGAAAGACAGAAACGAAGAGAACAGAGTATAAGTAGATAGATAGATAGATAGATAGAGAGAGAGAGAGAGAGAGAGAGAGAGCGTGGGTAAAGCGATTAGAAAGTGTAGACCCAGAAAGATAACAGATTGTAGAGACAGGAAAAGAGCACAGTGGAGAGAGAGAGAGAGAGAGAGAGAGAGAGAGAGAGAGAGAGAGAGAGATGGTGATAGAAAGAGAAACAGAATAGTGTTTGTAGGGAAAGACAGGGAGAGAACAGAGCCTTGAGAAAGATAGCAAGGGAAGGAGAAAGAAGATAACTGAGTGGGGAGAGAGAGATAACAGACTGTAGAAAGCGAGGGTGAGAAAATGTGGAGCCTACAGAAAGAGATAGCAGAGTGCAGAGAGAGAGAGAGAGAGAGAGAGAGATATATATATATATATATATATATATGTATAAAGTAAAGAGAGCAGAGAGTAGACTAGGGTTTAGGGAGATATAAAGATTGTAGAACGAGAGAGGATGGAATATATACCAGAATGGAGAGAAAGGGTTGTAGCAAAATGAAGAGAGAAAGAAATCAGAGTTAAACAGAGAGTGGAGCGCAGAATGTAGAGAGAGAGAGAGAGAGAGAGAGAGAGAGAGCGGAAGGGGTGGGGGAAGGCAGATAGCAAAGTGGAGAGAAAAGGAGAGAGAGAGAGAGAGATTAATGTGAAATACGATGGTATAACAAAAAAAAAGAGTAAAATAAGTAGGAAACGGAAAACAGGTAAATGACAAAAAAGAAAAAAGAAAAGAAAAGAAAGGGAAGAGCGAGAGACAAAGAATAAAAAAAAGAAAAAGAATAAAAAACTGGAATGAGTGAGAAAAGCGAAAATAAAATTGGATGAAAAAGTTGTCTGTTCTTTCTCAAAAAAGTCAAACACGAACTACAAAACTAAGCAAAAAGAAAAGACAAAAATGTGTAAATAAATCGTATGCCTTGGTTAGCGGAAGTTTATGCTGTAAACAAGGACAATGTATCTTTCGGCCTGTTGTGTTTTCTTTCATATCTTTCTTTCTAAGTTTCGTTTCGTCTGGGTCAGTTCACATGTGCATGTCACACTAGTAAAGGGGTAAAAACTCCCGGACACAAGACCCAGGGACAGAAGCAGACGTGAAAAACGAAATAATAATAATAATAATAATAATAATAATAATAATAATAATAATAATCGGTGTCTTCAGGCCGCTATATCTGTCATTGGAAGATATAATCGATGGCCAAAAATATTCTTCGCTATCGTTTCCGCTCAAAAATATGGAGACACTACGGCTGCCTATCGGCTAACTTGAATATTTTTTTTCTTGCTTCTTCTTTCTTTAATCTGAGTTAGTCTTTTTCTTTTCTTTTCTTTTCTTTTCTTTTCTTTTTTCTTTTTTTTTTTTTTCGTTCTGTTTTAAATCTTTTCTTGATGTTGTTATTCAGCATTATAAAAGTTGTACCCAAGCGTTAGATTCTGTCACGTAGCGTTAAGGCTACACACATTTTCCAGATCTCCCGATGTCTCGGGGGACCCGGCATTAATGTCACGTGATCGCTACCGCACTGTATTCTTCGCCTCCTCCTTCTTGTGTTTTCGTCTTCTTACTCTGTTCTTCCTGGAGTCTAAGCGGGCGCGTTTCCGACCCACTGTTTGGATAATGCTTTATTTATTGTCACTTTTTATTCTAGATCTCTTCTTCTGCCACCGCCTTCATCTTGTCTTCTTTTCTCTTTCCTCGATAAAAATGAACCCTTGTTATGGCAAAAGCCAACGTAATAATTTTTCTTGCAAATTGACATAAATACACCCTGAGAAAATCTGTTCAACGCAATCGATTACGAAGTAACCGCGATGCGTTTTCATTTCTTATTATTGATATTTACTATAGTTTAACTATCTATACAATAAGACAAGTGTATCTACCTACCTTTCTATATAACGTATGCGCGATGCCCTGAAGTAAATATATTAAATAAAACTTCACCCACTTGAAAAAGTCAAGGGGGTAAAGTAGAATAAAATTAAAAACAGTAAATCTGTTTTTCTTTCATCTATTTCCACATTTTTTGCCCTTATTTTTCTTTTCGTTTTTTCTTTCTAGTGTGGGATTACTTACCTTGACTTATCAGAGGGCTTCTCTGAACACCGAAAAGGTGGTGTTTTATAAAGCAGTATATAAAGAAAAGGTCACAGATCTATCTATCTATCTATCTATCTATCTATCTATCTATCTAGCTAGCTAGCTAGCTAGCTAGCTATCTTTTTCCTTCACCCATAGGATTTCGTAAGACGAGATGTATCCATTCCACGGGACTTCTTAGTACAAGTGAACCACGTGTCGCATACAACAGAAGAAAATATATCTCTAGAACAATTAATACTACTACAAAAATTTAGCAAACTGCTACACTCTAAATAGTATATTTGCAATTTTCCATAAATATATATTATTAAATAATATCTTGCTTGAACAATTAGTAACCCTACCCCCGTAAATTGGTGACCACGCAAATGAATGCTTGAATCTTCTGAAGATGGAGCCAAATGTTGAAAGAATAAAACTTTTAATATAATTTTAACCAACCATAAAACACAATTTCTACAAGAGATACTTACCCCCTTGAAGTAAAAGGCTGATAGCCGTTCATATTAACCCTTTTTTTACAAACCCGTCAGCGTTCACTGATGAATTTCAAAACAAATGAAAAAAAATCACGGAAAAATTACTGGAACTAAACGAGAACATTTCCCTACCCATGAAAATGAGAAAATATGAAAATTGTCGGAGTTAACTCCTCCTTCAGTCCGTTAACCCTTTCACCAGGGGTCTCTCTTCCCTGGCTATAAATAGCCGCTGACCCTTCGCCTCTATCTCTTTTTCCTTCAGGCCTGTGCACCGACACCTTGAGGTAAATCGCTCTTTTTCCTTCAGGATTTCAGCTATCAACCTCGAAATGTAGGCGCTAACAAGGGATAGCGTGGAAACACGCTAAGCACAATACACACACACGCACGCACATACAGAATATTCACACACGCACGCACATACAGAATATTCACATACGCTTCATCTTTTGTACTGTTTCCATGTATTGTAACTTGTTATTAATATATATTTGTATATACATATATTATCGGTCTTGTGTTTTGTTTGCTTTCTTTGCCTTCTTCTTTGGACTTAATCAAAGTCCAACATTTTATGTAGATGGGCCCGGCGGGCAGGAGTATCTGAACCTTACATGCGGTTCTTCTACGTCTGACTTCTATCAACAACATAACAGCCACGGCCCCTCTACAAAATCAAGCGGGAAACGCATCTTTCATTAATTAAACAATTTGTTTAAAAAAAAAAAGACTAAAAATATTCACAAGCGAAGCCTTCTTTAATAGATATTTATGAAAAAAAAAAACGAATGAAATGGGCAACAGAATGTATGAAGACCGATTTTCAATCATTTATTTCATCAACGAATGCTATGTTACACTCGATGCGACAGACAGGTGGAGAAAAGTCTGGGAAGTTACCAAGGGAAGCTCTCATCGCAGCTTGAGATGTCAATATGGCGGATTTGGTGTGATGGCTTAGGATGAGATTATATATAATGAAGTGGTGGGCCCGTTGTTCCATATCCATATATATATATATATATATATATATATATATATATATATATATATATATATATGTGAAAATATATAGAAAAATAGGAAGGAACTGGTTAGGTAAATAGTCCAAAGTTCCTTAGTATTTTTGTTATTATTTAAAAAAAATAGTACTCGATACAAAAGTAGAGCATAAATATAATTATTTATTTAAAATATGATTCCAAATCGCTACATAAGAGGTCTCATGTTGAAAAACAAGAGTGGAAATCTTCAATATAATCCCTTAAAAAAAAATTGAGTTGAAGATGGAACGGAGCTTTTTTTAATTTCAACTCAATTTAATTTAAGGGATTATATTGAAGTTTTCGGCTCTTGTTTTGAAAAAAACATGAGACCTCTTATGTAGCGATTTGGAATCATATTTTTAAATAAATAATTATATATATATATATATATATATATATATATATATATATATATATATATATATATATGGTTTTTTTCTATCTTCTGTCACGAGGTTTTATGCTAATTAATTTTTAGTTGTTTTATCAATAAATACTGTTTCGTGTCATTTCCTCTTTAGCCAGCTTAGCCTGAAGATCCGTTTAGGTGAAACCTAGGTAGGTTGTTTCTGGCACTTTAGGATTTATATCATATATATATATATATATATATATATAATTTTAGTGGTCATATATATATATATATATATATATATATATATATATATAAATTCCCAAGAGGATAGAATCCAGGTAGAACTCAATGTCCAGGACAGAGTAAGAATATAACATAAAAATAAAAGGCTCAAACAATAATATTCCATGGTTATAAATAGGTCTGATGATTTGGATCGTGATTACGATTCCAATGTAATAAGTTATAACCATGGAATATTAGTGTTTCTGCTTTTTTTTTATTATATATATATATATATATATATATATATATATATATATATATATATATATATATATATATATATATATATATATATATATATATATATAGGTCTGACGATTTGGATCGTGATTACAATTCCAATGTAATAAATTATAACCATGGAATATTAGCCATGGAATATTGAGCCTTTTATTATATTCTATTATATTATATTTATATTATATATATATATATATATATATATATATATATATTAATAAATACACATATACCTACGTTTGTAGTGCAACTCGGAGATACTAAATTCAGAAGGCATAAATGGTAGAATGGATTTTTACCATTTGTGCTTGATGAATTGTGTAACCATGAAACTCTGAGTCACACTACACACGTAGATATATGTGTATTTATTGATATATACTTTGTAGCTCTGTTTAAATGCATTTAGCAGTTTTGTTTACACTTCAAATTAAATATTTATTTGCTCATCTGTATATGTACGTTATCACGATATTGAGTCACCCCCCCCCCCACGAGGGTGTCATGTAGCACAAGGCCTTTTTAACGTGGGCATTCCGAGCCCGTGGGCTCGGCCAAAAATATGCCCATTGAACCCGTATATGTACGTTATCACACGCACATATAGTTGCTAATATCTCGTTGTTTAGGTCATGTTCACATTTCTCTCTCTCTCTCTCTCTCTCTCTCTATATATATATATATATATATATATATATATATATATATATATATATATATATATATATATATATATATATAGAGAGAGAGAGAGAGAGAGAGAGGTGAGCGTGAAAGATGTTCACATTTTCTCCTAATATTATATACTAGCTTAAAAGCCGCCCTATCGAACGGTATTTAAGCTAGCTCTTTGGCATTTTCCATAAATATATATTATTAAATAATATCTTGCTTGAACAATTAGTAATCCTACCCCCGTAATGCTCCTTGGCATTTTCTGTTGGGAACAAAAAATCAATGAGTTTATGCGGAAAAGAGTTGAAAGTTTTGTGGGACACCAAGAACCTCTTCTCGCCACTGTCAAACGGAGAAAAATGGCGTGGCTTGGAGACATTACAAGGTACGACAGCCTGTACAAGACCATTATACAAGGCACCGTTGAAGGTGAACGTAGGAGAAGTCGCCAACGCAAAAACTGGTTGGACAATGCCAAAAAATGGGCAGGTATGACATCCCTAGAATTGCTGATGTCTGCCGTTAATAGAGCATTGTGGAAAGGAGTTTGAGTGACTTCTGCATTCGGGTCCCCGCCTTACATCAATAAAGTCAAAGGGATGATGATGATGATGATGATGATGACGATGATGATGATAATCAAACACAAATGAAGGCTACAGGAGCAATCGAAAAATGATTCTTCAAATTGTGATTCTTTCAAAAAATCTGTTGCGTTCCTAACTCAACTAAAAAAAAATATGCAAAAACTTTTTTAGGTTATCCAATATATATATATATATATATATATATATATATATATATATGAAAATTTCTCCGTTTTAACCAGTAGAGAAGACAATATTTATGAATAAAAATGACAATAGGAAAACTGGTAATTGTTGACGCGTTTTGTTCAATGTGGACTTTATCAAAGCAAAATACGAAATTTCGTATTTTGCTTTGATAAAGTCCACATTGGGCGAAACGCGTCAGCAATTCCCAGTTTTCCTATTGTCATTTTTATATATATATATATATATATATATATATATATATATATATATATATATATATATATATATATATATATAGTTTTTAGTATGGGGCATTTTCTTTAATAAGTTTTTTCAAGTGTACAGGCTGGAAAACGAAATGGAATGCTGTTTAAAATAAACTAAGCGTCTACTCATATATGGGTACCCATTAAAAACAAAGTTTAAAGTAATGAGAATAGGTCGGATTTGAATAAAATTTAAAAATCCATTAACTCTTTAGGAATTGCTTTATTTACGTTTTGGATACGAAACTGAGCAGTTATGACTTTCAGTTAAATTCAAACGAATAAAATATGCTTTAAAAGCAAATATAACCTAGCTTGATTGCAAAGCTCTCCGTGGACGAGTGATCCAACCACCTCGGGTTAAAAGTCGAGTTCTCCTGCAAAGGTTCATATTCTGCCACAGGGGCGTATATATATATATATATATATATATATATATATATATATATATATATATATATATGAAATACCAATGTTAATGTGATTAATGGCAAAATCACTTCTCTGACAGAGTTTAATGAGACTTTCTGT